TTGGTTAAAGTGTAAAATGTTTTCACCTGGCTATAAAGCAAGTCATGTTTCTGGGCTGAAGAAACTGTAAGGAGGTTAGTTGTCGATAGGTAGAGGAAGCTGGGCATTGCTACGTGACATCATTACCCGGCGCCCACAGCAACCATAGGACTGGGCTGGACTGTGAGCCACATTTTGCACCATGGGGTCTTGGCAGTGTTGGCTCGATTTGGTGGCCTGTTGCTCCAGGATGGTGGTGGGGCCTGTGTCCCACTTGGGGGGAAGACGAGTGTTGCTTTGTGTGTGCCAGGTCCATGGTGCCATTTCTCTGTGTGCGTCACTGCAGCTCCTGCATTGAGTGTCTGTCCCCTGGTGGTCAGTGCACATCATCGCGACCGGTCAGACATCAGACACTTAGCATATTAGCCTTTTATATATATAGATACTTGATGTTAATATACCTTATTACTGCTCATATTCACTTTAATTATTTAGTAAAGGAAGTAGCTGCCAAGTTTTTCTGCACTTAAGTCATCTATCTGTATTCTATAGTGCAGGGAGATAACAGAGTATAGACAGTCCTTGGGTTATGTCAGACTCGACATATGTTGTTTCATGGTTATGTCGCCATCTATTTATTTATTAAAAAAAAAAGTTTCGTCATTTCAATGTATATACATATGTGTTTTATATTTTTTATTATTTATTTACCACAAGTAAAGGTCAGGAATTGTTATGTTTCTTTTAATTTTTTTTTTACTGTTTTACTTCATTACTACTGTGTACGTGCTCCATGTGAGTGATGTAGGTGCTTATGTAGGTAGATTCTGGATTATGGCAAAAATCGCATTATATCACACCATAGGAACGAATCTCCAACGTAACCTGAGGACCTACTGCAGGGGTCCTCAAACTTTTTAAACAGGGGGCCAGTTCACTGTCCCTCAGACCATTGGAGGGCCGGACTATAGTTTAAAAAAAAAAACTATGAACAAATTCCTATGCACACTGCACATATCTTATTTTGAAGTAAAAAAACAAAACGGGAACAAATACAATATTTTGTATTTGCATGTGGGCGCGGGCCGTAGTTTGAGGACCCCTGACCTACTGTATGGAAATATCTCATTTCTG